TGTGTACATGCATGGCTTCTCAGACTAGCACCTTGTTAATAATGACACCTTTGGAGATAAAACGGGGGGAGGGGGGGGGGATTTGTCAGGATTTTTTTTCCATATTTCAGGATGTTTTTAAAACTCCATTGAGAAATTTGGAACTTGTGAGATTTTACCTTAAAGGTTTCTTTGCCTAGAAGGGTAAAACGAAAGAAATTGGTATTTGAAGGGGTGCCTTACTAATAGGCTAATACAAACAGATACAACATTTGTACGGTACGTTTCGTTTGGTCCTGTGCAGCACAAACCCATTGTTTCAGATTTTGATTTCGTATTGGCACAAATGTTCAACAGAAGAGGGGAAAACATGACACTCTTCATTTTGGAAGACAAAATGCATCTTTTTGTACTGCTGCCCCTATCATGTGAACCAAAGAGTTACTTTTCGTTCTTCTTCAGTAACATCTTAACCGGGGCTTTTGAAGGACCTCCAGATTGGGTGCCCTATAAAATGCTAGATTGTGTGGTAGTGTAAAGCCCAGTTTATAGTTGGTCGCGCAATGATAAACGTCTCACGCTGATGGTCGCTGAAGGCTGAGCCCTTTTCGGACAGTCTATAGTCGTCCAGCAACATTTGTAAGAATACGCTCAACGGTTGGAAGCATACGCGCGTCAACGCGCTATGCGCGCACAATTTAACTGTGAAGTGTGACGATCAAGCGTTGCCATTACTGAACAAAATATTACTATTTCTTGCTCTGGATATTGTTTCATGCTACATTCGTTAAAAATGCAGGTAAATAACAAAATAAATGGATAACATTTTTTATCATTGATTTCTGATGTTTGTTTTTCAATATCAGGTAAAAAAATCATGTTTAAGAAGTAATTTGCTGGAAAATTTTTAAAGAATAATTTGTGTGAATTTTTGATTCAGTCATCAGCCCAACAAAAATGCGGGGAAATTGCTTTACAAAATGTTTCTTGTCCCCACCGCCTAAACTTAAGGATGGACGTCCATTTTGTTCCATAATCTCAATGCCATATTTGCATATTCAATATTTGTTATGGCTCAAGCAAGCCCCTTGGTCAACTGATGAAAATTGAGGTCAGCGCCATGTCAAAGTTAAATTATTGAACTCTGTAGCGATGTCGCCAGCGTCCTTCAGCAACTAGTCGCTGCAGCTTCAGCGACGACTATAAACTGTGTTTAAAATGATCACGCGTCAGTTTTTCAGTCGCGTGACCATCACGTGAATGACTATAAACCGGCTATAAACAATGCCTTGATGTACTGATTTTAACATTCTACTTCCTTTATTTTTAATATGAGAATACCACGGTTCAACTCACGTCTTGATCCTAACTTGTCCAGACCACATGGGATTGAACAAACAAAAAAAACCTCTCCTTCTGCAACCCAATCAGTTAATCCATGTGCAAACATCTCCCTTTCTCCCGCTACATCACCAAGGAGCTATGAAGGTTTCTCGCCGTCATCTCATTTCTGACACCCCCCCCCCCCCCCCCCCCCCCCCCTATTTTTTTTTACTTCATCTATGAAGCTGAAGAGGCAGTGGACTGCTGGCCTGATTCTGATGATCTGCCCAGCCACCCGTGAAATTTCCAATCATCAGACTTGGCTGGTTGCCTTTGAGCTGTTCTTGTCATCATTTTGATGATGGATTACTACTTGTACTTTGAAATGTTTGGTTTGTGGAACCTTATAGCTTGGTGTGTGCAGTTATAAATGTCAATTTTGTTGTGATGCACGAGAAGAATTTGGGTCGTTCTAAGAATTTGGGGTCCACTTTTGTCTCCATGTCAGCTTTTATTATATAATTCTGGATGCACTCCTTAAAGTGATTATGAACAGTAAAGTACAAGTACCTACCCAACATATAACCAAATTGTTTGAAGTCATTCTTAATCTTAACCAGTTCACGTTGGATGATGTGTATTATACACACAAAGGTTTTGCGGTATTCGGAACGGGAGATGGGTAAACACGCACTGAGCGAGGCCAAAAATATCTGTCTGTAACCCGCTCGCAGTGAGCGAGGCTGGAAATATCAGGGTGTGCTCCCCGCAGATGAAGACCTGAACCCGGCTGGCATTGAGGTTTGTGAAAACAATCCCGCGCCTGGGTCTGGACAATGTCAAAATAATCCCGGCGCGAACTGGTTAATACTAAATGACCAAGAAATGGGGATGGGAAATATTGTCACACTTTGAACCATAAATTTATAGAGTGACCAATATACATTTAGCATTGGTTTTCAAGACTTGAAAGATTGGAGAAATTCCAAGGAAAATGAAAAAATAGTTGCATAATGCCAAAGATACTATGCTTTGTGTTGAGAGATTAAATATATATGCACACACCTCATTACTGTCCCTTGACTTATTTTGATCAATGCCCACAGCAGGGTATCATGCATTCAGACATCCCTGAAGTCACATCATGAATATAAGTAGGTTGCATTATCGGCACAAGGGGCTTACTAAATTGGCCAGTTTTTCAAATCCCATTAAGCGACCTCACCTGTTCCCTGTGCAATTTTCCCAACTGTACATGTATTTTAAAATCAGTATAGTCTTACATTCTTTCGTTGCCTCCGAAATCCATATCATTGTCACTCGTCTATCAGCCCGGCCGATTACCCTCCGTGGGGTGTCCGAAACGACACGCTACTTCTCGCCAATTCATGTTTACCATGCATATTGTTCATCAAATGAATAGTATTACTTTTTTTTGTCAATCTCTTCCGCCAGTCTCAATTACTTTCATTGACGGTTGTCTAAAATTACACAAAGGTGGGAGGCGCAGAGGAATTGTGTGTTTTTCTGATGATGAAACGGCAGACGCACGCTGTGTGTTTGAGCTTCTGATGTGTCAGACAAACAAGGGGGATGTTTGAGGTAAATAACCTCTCTCTTGGCTCGTGTTCTATGCTGCTGGAACTTGGAATCAAGAAAAACAAGCATTCCAATCAATAAAAAGAGGGCCTTAGGCGAAGTAAAAAAAAAAACCATGTTTCTCGTCCCCGCCCGCTTCCTTTTTGGAGGTCGCCTGGATTTTTTTATTATTTTATATTTTTGAAAAATGCAGTAAAAAACACTTAAAAAGTCCACAAATTCATGGGAAAATAAATACTTGCGAAATATGTGACCAATACAACTCTAAATGACACTGTAAATATGTTCAGTTCTCTTGTCCAACTTGTCTTTCATTTTAAAAGTGTCTTGAACAGTGGAAACACCAAAGGTTGCAGGAAAGTTTAAAAAATAAAAAGCCCCTCTTCCTCCTTTTTTTCAAAAACCTGGACAAGAAACATAGGTTTTTTTTATTCGGCCATATATGTATCAATCCCAAAAGGACCTTTTAGGCAACATTTTGCATCTCAAAATAAATTTTTATATGACCGGAGAAAGATGCATTTTGTGCACTTACTACATTTGGTTGTGCACTATTACTTTTTTTCTCAATCTTTATAATAGATAGGCATCTAGCTTTTCTGATTCATTTTAGATTGAAATATCCACCCCTGACTTCGGGAATACTATGTACATGAAGATAGCAGATGTGTTGAGATACTTTTTAGGCATCAGATTCCCTATCTTTTGAATTAATTGTATCGATTAATTAATTGTTAAACGTACATGTACATAAATTTATGTGACCATAACATGAAGGATACATGCATCTTACATTGACGTGGGTCAAATTTGAGCATTTACCCCCTCAGTTACGCATATCATCACAAAGTACATGAAAAGATGAGTTTCAGATTTGTCATGAGCGCTTAATTTATGTCTTCATGAAAACAGTGATGTTTTCAGTGATGAAAACAGTGATGGTATATCTAACAGTATTAAATGCGTCACTAGTGGGGCAGCATTACCCCCTCCTCTTTCCAAAATATATTTGTGAGCAGAAAGTTTTTTTCCTTGGATGATTTCTTCAAAGTTCATCTGTCTGTTCTCAGCTGAAAAAAAATCAAGGAATGAATTGCTATATATTCTAACCAGATATAGAGGGAAAATGTTTATGAAAGAAAAAAAACATGTACTACACTGTAATTATTTTGTCCTTAAAAATAGTATTTTCCCTACATGCTATGCTTGGAGATTGATGTGTATTAGTTCTGTAGGAATCACGATGACACACTCAAATATTAAAGTTTGAATCTTGTTTAATCTTGATATTATCATGTGCTAATTCTTTTTTATCTCATCGGAGAGCACATAACTTATAGATTTGAAAAGACTATTTTTATTGCGGGAGTGGTCTTATGAGCGGGACCCTGTGGGGTACTTGTACAAAGGGAACAATGGTACCCCATAAGTCAATCTTTGTCTAACGATGACTCACAATGGACATTTTAAGGAAGAGGGATAAAAGGAGAACAAATCAAGTACCCGATCAACCCCATCCGTAGGATTGCGTATATATGTGCCAACTTTCACACATTCTCATCACTTAACCCTAACCTTTGCTAAGAACCATCCTCAATCCTCCAAAATCCTCCAAAAATGTTGCAACTCCGCCTAAATTTTTCAAAATTTTCAGACAGTCCTGCTGCAAAATGCATTAATCGTCAATCCTCCAAAATCCCAAAATTTTGCACTCGTGTTTAAATGAAGGATAACCAACGCCAAATCCTTCAAAATCATCAGACAGTCCTGCCTCAAAATGCATTCATCCTCAATCCTCCAAAATCCTCTTGTGCTTCAATCACCATTCATCCTCAATCCTCCAAAATCCTCATGTGCTTCAATCACCATTCATCCTCAATCCTCCAGAATCCTCATTGGATTCAATCACCATTCATCCTCAATCCTCTAGAATCCTCCAAACCCGCCAGGAGGATTTTGGAGGATTGAGGTGGGTTAGGGTTAATGTTGTAACCTGATGAACACTTACCGGTATGAAACTCAACCTGAGTCCGGGCCTCAGCAATACACAATGGAACATACTGAATATCTGCATTTTCTCTGCATGTGATTCTGCACAGGTTCGGTGGACCCTCGCTCCATACTACTCTCAGTGTTCCTAGTGCTGTGCATTGGCCTGTACATTGCCAAGGTCTGTTTCAATATCTGGATGGGTTACATCCCGCCGGCGTACGATGAGTTTACTAATGTGGAGGACCAAGCTCCTTCCACTGAAGATGAGGTCAAGGTAAATCTGTGGTTCTTCACTTTGTATTATTAACTGTTATTATATCTGTAAACAGAATCCAGAGACCGTGCAATCCTCTTGCACAAGTACCTTGTGCAAACCTAGTGTTGAGTGGCTAGCCTCGTTAAAATCTGGCAGCCATCAAAATCAATCATTTTGCCTCCTTCCACGGAAGATGAGGTCAAGGTCAATTTGTGGTTCTTCACTTTGTATTATTAACTGTTATTATATCTGTAAACAGAATCCAGAGACATGTAATCCTGTTGCACAAGTACCTTGTACAAACCTAGTGTTGAGTGGCTAGCCTCGTAAAAATGTGGCAGCCATCAAAATCAATCATTTTGCCAGATTTAGGAGGGTTAGGGTTGGACACAGTATCAAAAACCTCAAATATTGGCCTCTTGATGGAATACAGCACTTTTAGTGCCAGTATTTGTACATCTGCGTGTACAGTCACAGATGTCGCGCAATTTACAAACAAATAGAGCTTGGTAAATTTTCTTTTTGGTTAATTTTCTTCTTGGAGTTGGAATTTTTTTTAATTTCAGAAAAATAAGAGTACACAGAACAATTCTCACTGCACAGATACATTTGATATTTCGGGGATGTAAATCCTCTCGAGAATTGCAAAACGAGATTTTTTTTTGGGGGGGGGAAGGTGGGGGTTTAATTGAAGATAACATTTCTGGCACCATTTACTCTTTTTTTTTTAAATACCTGGCTGGTCAAGCAGTACTTTCCTTGCTTTTCTTCTCTGGGTCCCGGGTTCAATTCCTGCCTAGACTCAACATTTGACTTGGGTTTTCAGTCCCTACCTGGTTCTGTTGGTTTTCCCTGAAATAGCCAGGGTTTTTCTCACAAAAGTGTACATTTCTCCATTGTCATTCTCCCTCTTGGTTTCTGTATACTTCCAAGCTACAGTGTCTGAAGGCACTTTTGAAGAATTCTAAATTTCAATTCAAGAAAAAAAAAAAAAAAGCTGCAGTGTCTGTAAACTGTTTTAAGAATGCTTGGTTCTAATACCAGGAAGAGTTAAAATGAAATAACATTATCAAAAAAAAATTACCTGCAAAATGTCCTGCTATTCCTTATCCCATTTTTGTTCTCCCATTGTCTCTGTAACAGCACTTTATTCCTGATGTTCTACAAGAAAGCGGAGATGATAAGGACGAGGAACAAGGGGGCGCGACAGCCCTGGGCGGCACCGCCCCCAAGCACGCTTACGGTACCATGGATGGACAGGTTGGGGAGCGCATACACTACGGCCACAGGGACACGCCCGATACCTCCGATGGGGAATGAGCCACTATAGTCCAGCCAGTCATAACAATGGGAGGTCACACATCGAAGCCTGGTTGGGTCGACAGCCTAGACAAATCTGATGAATCAACTTGGATATGTGTTGGGGTTGAGCTTATTGTGAGGTAGTTTTTGACGTGGTTTTTATGCTGGAATAATTTGTATGAATTGTGTATTTGAGATGGAATAACTGCCGATCTTGAGTTGTACTTAGGACATAGTACTTGAACAGAATACTTATTATCAGAAATCAGTGACACAGGGATATATTGTGCAGTTTGGTCATTGATAGCTCTCAAAGATATATCAATATATCTTGTTGGAAAATCAGAGCATAATCATTATAGGCGGCAACAAATTGAAAATTGAGGAGTTGTGATTTAGTAGCTTGTGAAAGTCTTTTCTTATTGGCTTTAATGTGTGGGAGGTTTGTTGTTTCTCTGAAGGAGGTGGAAAACTGATTGCAAGTTTCATATGAAAGGTCACATGAAAAGTTATTAGAAAAGTTTAAAATTGCAATATGTGAACAGACTTACATGTATAGTAGTGATGAAGTTAGGGTATAATAGACTCATCAGTCGAGGTGAAAAAATACAGAACCTGGTTGAAACTGAAATCCCAAGTTAAAAAGTTGACCCAAGTGAGAATTAGACCTGGGTCATTGAGGTCAAAGACAAGAGAAGTGCCCATGCACCCATACACATGTCGACTTCAAGAAATGGAAAAAAGAAAAGAAGGTTCATTGATCAGCTTGTTGCCCTTTTTTCATCCCAGTTTAATGAAATATATATTTGCAAATCTAATGCCATGAGCTTAAGTTGATTACTCAACTTTGAGAGAAAAAGGTCATAGCACCCCTATATCGTAATTGTTGGCAAGGCTTACATGCAAATCCTGGGCCCAATATTGTTGATAGCATTGAGGTTCCATTGGCCATGAACGCAGAGTGATCATAGTAAAATGGATTATATATACAGCAGTGGTCAAACTGAGAGCTTTAAAATTAAACTAAGGACCAAATCGGTCAGTTGCATAATCAGATGAGAATTACAGGAAGTAGGGTACAGTAAAGCCAGACTTGGGCGCCGGCGTGTAATCCGACTAGGCTTAATTGGCCACACGATTGTAGGGAAGGCAGGAGAGTTAGTTCTGTTTGTTGTACAGAAATGAAAGATTTACTTAAGCCCCAAATGCAGCTACTGTTAACTCCTTTGAATAAATTTAGCATATTGCAGTGTTTGAATGTGGATCATCTCTTCGTGAAACGTAAACAATATCTGTATGAAACAAGAATATTTCCCATTTCACTTTCTTTCCAATCTGGGTTAAGTCAACAAAAGCTTTTGTTTCCCTAGGTTTCGTTTACCCAGTTATTTGGGTGTTAATGACAAAACCCTACACACAGATGGTGCAGTTGGAAAGCAAGTGGGGCATTTGGACCAGGTCCCAGGAGTATGTCATCGTAGACATTTCTCAAGTTAGACTCATGGTTTGGGAAAACTCAAGGATAACAAGCAAATTAGTACATGGGGTTACATGACCTCCGGTTAAGGGAAAGCTATAGTAAGACTAGATAATCTTCAGAATAAGTTGATTGTGGTGAGCAAGAGTTACTAGACTCTTCATTTGGTACACTGTCACAAAAACCTACATTGTATAATGAAAGTATGAAAGGTTTGCGGTAACACCATGTGAATTTTATCTCGCTTGAGTTGTGTGGTTCTGAGAAGAACCAGTTGTTTTAACTCGATGTTTCGAACGGTGTGCTCTGTTCGTCATCAGGAGACAGAGCAAACTTCGAAACGTTAAGCTTAAACAACTGGTTCTTCCCAGAATCACACAACTCAAGAAAGATAATATTCACATTTACCACAAACCTGCCATACTTTGTTCATGCCCACCATGCAAACCTACAAGTCCCACTACAGGAGTCAGTCATGATTTGTTATGATCCTCCATCAGCTCCTTCGAAAGACTAGATATCCATAATAAAAGTTAGCTCTGAGATGTCTTCAGTGTCGATAGATTCTGCTAGCATTTTTTTCCATTCGAAATCATATCTTGCAGAAATGACTTTTAAACTTAATACTTGACTACATTGTGAATTTAATCACACCATGACACTGGGATTATCTACAGCTCTGTTTACATGATTTTTGGAATCAACATGTAGTGATAGCTTGTCATAGCACATAAGGAATTGTATAGAAATTACTTAAACATGTCGATATTAAAGCAGGTAATCTTGAATGTTAAATGTATGTATCAAAATTTTCCATGTATTCCAGAGAAAAATATCCCTTAAAACTTTTCTTTATTTGTACCATATTAACACTATGAATTTAAACATAAGAAATACTTATACCTATATACATACTCTGCAAGGTCACCACTTTCATTACAGGGTGAGTAAAAAAACGAAACCCAAATGGCAGGACCAATTTTTGAATGACAGTTGGCCTGTAGCACTTTCAAATCTAGGATATGAAAGCCCCATCAATAAGCTTTCGTTTGATACAAGAATCATTCAAATCACTCATGTACTTTTCAACTTACGGAATTTTGAACACGAACACCGTTTTAAAGTTCAGTACACGGATCACAAAAAAGGTAAGTGTTCTTTCAGCAAAACGAAAACTAATCACATGCATCCCTATGAGAATTGTTTTCGTTTTGCTTAAAGAACACTTACATTTTTGTGATTTGACTGATTCTTGTACTAAAAGAAAGCTCATCGATTGGGCTTTCATATCCTAGATTTTGAAATTAAAGTGCTAGAGGCCAAGTTTCATTCCAAAATTGGTCCTGCCATGTGGGTGTCGTTTTTTTACTCGTCATGTATTGACTCCACCCTCGTGATCTGAGCAGGTTGTTAAGCCCTAGTTTAGGTCATCGGCATTATATACAGCTGAAAGACATTTATGCATTATCCACATAATACATTACATGTAGTCTCAAGTTATGCAGAATTGACTGTGCTTTTTTGCCACGATATTGTATGCAATTCGTTCTCGATTGGCAATGTACTTTTTATTTGAGGTCACATTCAGTGTGGTTAGAATCAGATTGTGTTTGTCGTTGGAAGCAGTACTTAATATTGTGTAATAGTATTCACCTTTTTGAAATAATTGTCAATAGCACTTTATTGTAAGTATTACGTGTATGTGCAATATGTAAAGTGTGGTGACCGTTTAACACCGGTAAATGTTGTTTAAAAGTTGTTTGTATATTTTGCTTATGTTTAATTGTAAAAGACTGTGATTGCAATATGTAGCCATTAATTGTTTTTACACAGTGGAAATAGCTAGTCGTGTACTGCTACCTTTACTTTGGAACTAAGTGAAAAATCAGGGGAATTTCTAGAAAACACATTCGCTGAAGTATGGGCTAGCTTTACGCCTTAGTCAAATAACATATCTTATAAATGACTGGTGTTTATTGGAGTTCAATTCCGCTTGAACATATTATGGACATAATACACTGAAACTTTTGAAGTTTGGATACAATCCAAACAACCTTTTCATGCCTGAGACTTGCTTTTCGCGTTCGAGAATTAAATGGATTCAGAGCTGAAGCAGTTTTCGAAATTAGAGTGAGGTTTTTGCATAGCATAAAGACATCGTCTGGATATATACACTCGATATTTTTATCCCTCGTTAATGAAATATGGGCATGATCTCCCAAAAGGGCATTCACGTAATTATTCCGGCGGTTTTTCAATGATAATGATACGTTTCCAGATGATGGGTAGAAGTACGTGTCCAAGTGAAAAGGCTCCCTAGGCGAATCATTAAAAACATGGTCTAGCCCCAAAAAGTGACGTGTGCAGTGCAGTTCGTGTCATACTCGTATTTGCGTGGCCCTGTGAATGATTGTCGGTGCCTTTACTTTCACTCGAGAATCCTCTCAAGTTATAAGATAATTCTTGCTCACGAGTCTTTCATTTCGTGTTATCAATGTCACTTAAGTTCAAAACTGCTGTGCATCCTTTTGATACAGTTTGTACGCATTTTAGTTTTTGGTAGCCGAAGTTGAAATAAAGTACGACTTTAGTGCATGTAGTATTGAATGTGCTGTAGAATCCATGTTTTAACGTTTATTTAACATTTTAGTCGACAGCTCCAATAAACTGAATACGACTTATGCATTCCTGTCGGACCAAATTGGAGAAATGTCATGTAAGATCAAACTAACATTCTGAGCCGTTTCTTATGGCACATTGCTCTGTGTATACATGTGTTATAATTGAACAACGCCAAAAATGACATTCCAGTCAAAGAAAATAGAGGTTTTTTTAGTGGCAAACTAACACAATTGGTCGTAAAAAAAGCCTTACATCGTTTGCTATTGTCTAGTGATTTTTTAGTGATGAATTTATATTGTAATACCTCTGTCTTGAATACTCAATTTCATTGGCTTAGAACGATCACGTGTTAAGTTTATATAAAGTCATGGCACACTAGTACTCATTGTGGGATATCACGTACGTATACCTACGTACGGTGTGATGAGAAACGCTTGTATCGTTGGTACCCACGCTATTTTCACCATGTTTTTCACACATCATGAGTGGGAGCAGCGAAGTAGCAGACGATCAGCTGTTTCGAGCACTCGACATGCATGTGAGTTAGTTCAATTTCATGATTGTTGTGTTTACTCCCTGTGGGATATCACGTCACAGGTAGTGTGCTATGACTTTTTCTAAACTAAACACGTGATCGTTCTAGGCCAATGAAAATACGACATTCAAGACAGAGGTATAACAATCAGAGTTATCTTTAATGGAACAGAAACATAATATTTGTATGCAGATTCTGCCTGTTTCGTGTTATGTGTGCGTAACGTACCACGGTAAAAAAAAACTATAGCACTGTTAAATAGTTAGGTAAAGATAGTTGTGCAGAAACATCACATTCATTTTCGTAGTTGGTATATGCCTTAACAATAAACTGTTAAAGGATTTGTTTATAAATGTTCAATTCTTACGTGCTAAAACTATAAACCATATGTACTATTATATCTTCCATGATATTATGCGAGCTGCTTTCTATTGATTTATTATTCACTCGCGTGTATGTACGACATGCATGTTCGACATACATGCGTGTCTGTCAATTTCATACCAAATTCAGCGGTGTCACACGCCAATGTGATCCGATACGACCAACCTATTTTGAGCACAACAAATATGGCTGTCTGGGTGTAGATTTATTTTCAGCCTTATTGTGGCGTATCAATCAATCATGGGGATATATTTTGGTAACTCACGTTGCGGTAACTCGCGTTACGGTTTGTCCGCCCATCTTCGGGTACAAGTTAAAACAAGTAAGAAATTAATATCCAAAAAAAACTCATTTGGCATAAAATATGAACCTTTCTCGCTGCCTTGAAAACAAAAACTCACAATAACACTTGCACTTTGCATGTGAAAACAAGATGCCAAAATGACTCTCTACAGTCTATACTTTTAGCCCCCCAAACAGTTGGTTGACAAAAATACATTTGAGCTCATTCCATCTCACTGGCACACCACTCAAATGAAAGGTCTTCTTGTCCCCTTTCAATTAATTTGATATCACATTTGAGGTGGTAATGCTCGTAGTTCAGAAGATTTAATAAATGTTTTACTCTCCAGCCATGTCCACTTTTGCGTGGAATTGCCATTGTACATCAATGCTTAGTGTTTTTTTTTCATTGTCGCCTTTTGATAATTTACTACAAAGGTTTTGTATTTTTACTTTACCCATGATGGTTTTCTTAATCCCTGTATATGCTATGAATAACTTAATATATTGACATTGTGGCTCTAGTTTTAAAGACGAATTGACCCAAATAAAATCACAGTCTTATCAAGGATACACCTAGTGTATTCTCGTATAGTTAAACTAATAAAAGATAATATGATATGAAATTTGAACTTAGGTCCAAGTCTGTGTGTCTGTCATGCTGAATTTAAGAAATTACAGGGTAAATTTGAATATCGTTCTTAATTTCCATTTAACTGCCATTTTTAAGTTATTTTCTCATAACCAGGGCCGGCTTAATATTGTGGGAGACCCTGGGCCGAAGGAATGAGGCACAGGCCCCACGCAAAACAAGAAGGTGTTTACCCCGATTTTCCCCATCATCGATGCCTAACTTTTTTTATGAGCTTCAAACACGTTCAGTATAGATATCACTCTATCGCCGCAATAAAAACGTGCTATGAAAACCTTTAAAACGCTATAGGGTCATGAAAGGTACATGAAGTAAGACAGAGGACATCATTATTGCTGTGAAATATTATTACTGTCTTCAGACATTAAAGCAGGTACAATGC